TAAAGGGGTTGGATCCCATTTCAATTCATCAAGAAGTACGTAGTATTTCGATCCCCATATGAGATAGTTGTAGCATTAGCTTAGTCGAGAGAGTTGTGGAGGCTATTGGCCCACCGGCGGCCATTTCAAGTTGCCTGAAATGGCAAGGCTTTTGCCGTGCCTAGTGTATACTTTGGCTTTTTGCTTGTTAGCCATCAATGTAGCGGCAGACGATGACAAGCCTTATGTTTATGCTTCTCCACCTCCACAACAGGTGTATCGATATCATTATAAGTCACCACCACCGCCCCCGCCTGCATATTACTACAAGTCACCACCACCGCCACCATCCCCATCTCCACCTCCTCCATATTACTACAAGTCCCCACCTCCCCCATCCCCATCCCCACCCCCATCATATCATTACAAATCCCCTCCACCACCTTCTCCATCTCCTCCTCTTCCTCCTCCATACTATTATAAATCACCACCACCACCATCATTATCTCCACCGCCCCCTTAGTACTATAAATCACCACCCCCACCGTCACCATCACCTCCTCTACCYTACTATTATAAGTCCCTAACTCCACCTTCTCCTTCACCTCTCCCTTCATACCATTACAAATCACCTCCACCACCTACACCATCYCCTCCACCATACTATTACAAGTCGCCTCCACCTCCTTCACCATCTCCTCCACCTCCCTACTACTACAAGTCACCACCTCCACCCTCACTGTCACCTCCTCCTCCATACTACTATAAATCACCACCACCACCATATCCTTCACTCCCTCCTCCATACTACTACAAGTCACCACCACCACCATCACCGTCTCCACCTCCTCCCTACCACTACAAGTCCCCACCTCCACCATCACCTTCACCACCCCCTCCATACTACTACAAGTTACCATCACCACCCTCTCCATCTCCTCCTCCTTCCTATTATTACAAATCACCACCCCCACCCTCACCATCACCTCCTCCTCCATACTACTACAAGTCCCCACCTCCACCCTCTCCATCATCTCCCC